CTTTTGGGAAAGCAAGGCTATGTGAAATTCAATGGAAACGTCAGCTCAACTCATATCATTGTGGGAAGATATGCATTTAGCCAAAGACGTAAAGATATTTACAATTATTTACATCCTCTAGAATGCACACAATAACATGTTATTGCTATTAAGGAAGGGAGCAATACTATCAAATTTACTTTGCCCAAATCTATACGGAATATATTAGGATAGCATCATCTTTATCATCATCATCGTCCAAGCCTTATATGAAGAATAAACAGGATATTGTCACGATAACCCTTATTTCATGTTAAAGAACCTGGCAAAGGGATTCACCTTGCTCTGCGACCGTTTGGTGCCAATCGGGTGTTGGAGTTGACGCGACTGACGAGATATCCATTTTATATTCTGACGAAAAAGGCCATGCTCCCTTCCGTTAGGACAGTTGACAGACAACCTAAAGGCCGGATCTCATTATCACCAAAAGAATAAGAGATCGCCAAGTCTAGAAGATCCACTTGCACTCGCAACAAGAAGAGTAGCAACAACCAAAATGAACAGAATTTAGAGGAGATAATAATTCATTTTTTCTATTTTCGTCTCATGTCTCGTTTATTTGTAACACATCTACAAAGCTCAGCAACTCTACCAGACGTACGCTCGAGATTATGAAATCACAGTCATCCATTTTCTTCAATACTAACTTTATAAAAACTTGGCATACTACCACCAAAACGTACACACATACACGCGAAGAGGGTTTAACGCACACTCGTTCTTGACCCAAAAATTGCCATTATGGTGTTGATTAGGAGGCTGTCCAAACTTCTGAGTCTGCGCCCGGGCAACAAATTGAGGTTGGAGGTAGACACGAAATGGCCGTGGAGGAAAAGCTGACGTCTTGCTTGCGTAAAAGAAGTCGAACCAAGTCCATTCAGGAGAAAAAAACCGCCACCTTCGTATGCATCATATGAAGGGAAGCTATTTTCGGACCTTTTTTGCATGATCCCGTTATCTAAACTTTCCTGCCATCCGTTCCGACCGCTGGGAGGTGAATCAAATCGTTTCACAGTTCTTTCCCCATCTTCCTTTTTTGCACCCATTCGAGCATTCGCTGAATTTGGCCTTTTTCAATGGACTTATTGTTCTCGACATCTACGCCAGTCGCGGCTGATGTCAAGCCCCGCCAGGAAGCACTGAAGGAAATATGTAATGTAGTCGATCGGTGTAGCTAATACAAGTTTGCTTCATCGACAATCCCACTGCAGAATGTGGTATGGAAAAATGCCTGGTTTTACTTGAAATTCACATCTATCTTTTGACGCAAGTGCATTCATAGCAATGTGTCTTAGTGGTTAACATGTCGATATGATATGCTGCTCTACCAGAAACAGGGCTCGAGCCCTTCTGAGGGTAGCAATTGACCAGCTTAGGCGAGGTCAAAACTGCATTCCAGTCCAGCCTGAGTAAATATACCTTTTTGGAAGCAAGACTGTGTGAACTTCAATGGAATCGTGAGGCCTACTCACATGATTGTGGCAAAATTCAGCAGTCAGTCCTTCCTCATCTCAAACGAAACTGAGCGAATACATGTGATGATCTTTTGGTAGTCTCGAAAATCTACTAATAAAACAAACATACTTTAAGAAATCGTTTGACCTTGTTTTTGCAACTTGGTCGTATTGTCAGGGCGATCGAGAGAAAAGCACCTTGTGATAATTTCCGGCATCGGACCATGAACTTGATACATTTCCTGACTTTTCTCATGCATCGTTACTGAGGCTTACCGTTCTCAGCACCAAACTAAAAATCGTCTCTTAGTCATACAACCTCTCTGCAACGAACAGGGATCGTGACCATACTATATTCCACACCATATTGGTCTTCGTACCTTCGAAAACTCAAATTCAGGTATGAAAGTGTGCCTTCGTAAATGTCTTAATTTCAACTGGCTGCTGGACAGGAGCTCGACATATCCTCGCCTGAATTGTGATTCCTCGTAATTCATACTTCCTATCTACCACGAGAGCCAACAAACAGGCTCGCCGTTGTCACGGAGCCGGATTCTCACTGAGATTCCAACGAGGGACTCCGAGCTCACCGGCAGACAAATTTTACCTCGATCATGACTTAACGTGTCCGTGGAGGACAACAAGAATCATTCGCAACTCACATCTGCACTGAGCATACTCGATCAATCTGTCCTCTGATTCTCTGATCTATCTATCTATCTATCTATCTATCTATCTATCTATCTATCTATCTATCTATCTATCTATCTATCTATTTGTCTATATATGTATCAATCTATCATTTTTTTATCTGCCTCTCCAATGGTAACCACTTTAGGATGTGGTTCTGACTCTTTAAGCACGAGCTTTCGCTATTTTGACTTTGCTCGATGTGCAAGTTAGCATCAACACATCTTTAATCCTGACGTCCTTGTGGTTGTAAGTAGTAAGATAGTAGTCTGAAAAGGCGTCATGTTATATTTTGGAGTATTCGTACTATCTCCGATGCTCGGCGTGGGAGAACCATCGCATTTCGCTCAATAGCGTATAGTCAAGTGCATCAATAATCAGGACCTCGAAAAGCATAAAGTAGATGGAGATTGATTCTTCCACAGGCCAGATTTTGCTTGCCATGCAGCAGGCAGAGACAGCACATATCATAATGCATAATTTTATGAAAAATTTTATTACTATCTCCTAAGTTAGTTCAGGCGATCTGGGGCCCAATACTTCGTATATAGATTGAGGGTGAGCCTACTTTTTCAAAATTCATTGCGATAAAAAGGCCTAGTTTAACCTCGTTTTCGCAATTTGAGAAACTCTTCGAAGATATGAAGAAATACTGTGTTTCGAATAATACTTTAGTGATATATTGTGACATGACGTTCCATTTCGAAAGAAAAGTTGGTTGAACAAAATTTGTGATGTCGTCTCACGAGCGGTTTGCCCGATCCTCTTAGCACTGCCCACTACTACATGCCTCTGCTTACAAACGCATGTCATCTTGACATGTAAACATACCTTGGATGGCTTTTACAGCCAAGTTCATCCACTGTGTCCAACTCTGTGTGTGCGCGTGTGTGTGATTTGGTGTGAGTCACTATTGTTTACATCGCAATGTGTGTGTGTGTGTACACAATCTTATTTTTCGCGTGGTCTGGTGCAGGTAGATCCGTCACACCCACAAGAGGCTTGGCGCCTTATCTTGACAGGCCAGCAAGTGGGTCCGGTACCACAAGCCTCCGGCACACACGACGTCTGTGCCAAGTGGAGCCGAAAAAGTGCGCTCGCGATCGATAGGCCGAGCAAAAATCGGCATAATGCTATAGTGGCATTGTGATAAACCTCCGATCCTCATGTTATGGTACCCTCTGACCCCATCGCCTCGGCGTTTGGCCACAAACCCGAGGACCCTTCCAGAGCTCAACGGTGACGACCCACTTCTCTCAGGCTACCCTGAGCCCTGGGGACAATGTGGAGGCTTGTGTTTATTTGATACTGTTGTTGTTGTTGTTGCTGCTGTTGTTGTTTTTGTTGGTATTGGCATTGCTGCTGATGCTGCTGATAGTAGTATCGATAGTGGTATTTTTTTTCCCCCATTCGTCAAATTCTTGTTGCTTTCATTATCGCCGACATCGTTGCTAAGTTTGATGTTGTTATTGATGCTAATAGTGGTTCTGCTACTGTAGCTTTTGAGGCTGATATTGTTGTTGCTGGGTCTGATGCCGCTATTGATACTCATTTTTGTTGTTGTTACAGCCTTGTCAGGTTGTTATTGCTGCTGCTGTATCTTTTGAGGTTGCTGACGTTGCTGTTGCTGC